AAAAAAAAAAAAAAGAAAGGAAAGGAAAAAACATAAATAAAAATTTTTAAAAAGAAAAGGAAGGACAAAACTGAATGTATTAGAAACTGGCCAAGCTAGAGCCCAATCACTGGGTTTGCTACTGTGTAACTAAGGCAGACACCATTTACTTGCTCAGGCCACACACAACCTTCAGAAGCATCACGCCTTACGGTTATTTCTTCATCAGCACTTGCAAAGTGAGTAAGGCTGCCAAGCCAAGTCCTCGACTATTAGCACTGGGCTGAAAGGGATTGAGATCTCTGCTCCCCAGTGCGAGGGGTGGCATAGATCTTAACCTTTGAGATGCTGAAGTTATACCATGCCAGGAGATTGAATTAGAACATTTGGGGCCATAAATATTCTGTTTAGGGTGCAACATTGATCAAAGATGCCACTAAAGCAGCTGCAGCAGCTCAGGATTTTAAAGCCAACGTGTGAGATGCTGTATAGGGGATGAATTGATGACCTTGCCTCATAAACACATTGTTAAGACTCATTTACAATCTTTCACACCTCTCCCTCTAGTTGAAAGTATCTGTGGTCCTTATGAGTGTTATAAAGCTGATGAGCATTGAATTTGTTTAAGGTTGATATTGCAGTATCACAAAACGGGCAAATTATCTTCTTCTTAGCAGAAGAAAGCATCAGAACATACTTACAGTTTATAGATTTCATTCCCTTCTTTTTTCCTAGCTCCTTACTTTATGGCAAGTACAGCCTTACATTTAAAATAATGTTGGCTTTATGTTACCTAGCATTTCTAAATTTATAGTATGAGAAGTACCAGTGTGCTATGGAACTATAGGAGGTAGCTTTCACATAAAGCAGAGAATATAATATGAATGGTCACCCCTGAACTCAAAGCATTGCCTTCTCTAGCTCTCTTACCATATTTTCTAAACCAAAAGTTAGGATGCAATGCTTGGTAATTAATAATGTACTTATGGCACAATAGGAATGAGTATTTTAAATCAGTATGGAATGTTTGCCCCTCTCCCAAATCTGGGACACATTATTGTTTAATGCCCAGAAACAAATTGATAATCATTTAACAGATCCTCATGTAGTAAAATGTAAGTTTTCAAATCTCCAAGAGAAGCCAGAATGTTGTAGCCCTTCTTTCTCTTCATATTTTACTGGTGAAGATCATGGCAAATAGAATGCCAGAGAACTAGCAAAAGTAAATGTTGAGTAAGACAAAATAAAATAAATATGTAGATGTCTTTCTCCAGGGCTAGTACTTGTATTAATCAAGTAAATTTATATAAAAGGACTTGGGGGGGGGATATTAAAGAAATTAACCTTTCTCAAAGCATCTTTTTAGGAAAGGTATTCTAGGAATACCCATGCCTTTATGTATTTGCAAAGTGTTGATGTATGTCATGCTGTAAGGATAACAAGGCCACATTCAGAGGTGAAAAGAACAGTGTCCTCTAGGCAGTGGTTCTCAACCTTCTAATGCTGCAACCCTTTAATACAGTTCCTGTGGTTGAGAACTGCTGCTCTAGACAGACCCTCTCTTTCCCAGCTCAGGGAATGGTTGGCATAATAGAATTGTCAGCAAGAGGATAGCTCATGTTCTGAAAATGCTTGTGGTATACACATGTCCTTCTTAGTCCTTTCTCACAAGGAATAATAAAAAAAAAAATACTAATAGTGGCTACCTTTGTGGTGCAAAACTAACAGTTGGGGACAGAGGAGACTTTAATTTTTATTCTTTTTATATACTTCTTTACTATTTGAACTATTTTACTTAAAAAAATTATGTGCAAGTATGTCTGCATATACTTGTATAGGGTTTTAGAAAACCCGTATAGCCTAAAGCAAGAGAAATGGGCAGCAAGGATGTGTCACAAACTAGTTTACCCTTCCTGAGCCTTGTCTTCATTCGATTCAGTCAGTGGGGATGAAAGAGAGAGGTCCTCCATTGTCAAGACAGAGCTTTGGGGAAATTCTCAGAACAAACATTCAAAGGTCATTCTCTTACAGGATGAAGGAAGACAAATGGATGAATGTCCAAGTGGGCGATATAATAAAACTAGAAAATAATCAGCCTGTCACGGTGAGTACCTCTTTTGGCTGTAGCTTTTACTTTTTTGTCTTGAGCGTATACCAGGAACCCTTGCAGCACTTCTGCTAGCACTGCTTTTGGTGACCTTCATCTGCTGCACTTTGCATCAGAGATCAATAGCTCCCACGGTAAGAAGCTTGTTCTTGCCCATGTCTCAACATAGCTACATGTATGTAAAGTGTAAGTAGCTTCAGTGATGGTTCTCAAACAAAGTAAACCAATGTCTGTAAAACTCTTAGGGTGAACATTTGTTCCTGTTCTTGTCACACTAGAATGATTAAAGCCAGCCTTCCTGCTTTCTTTATTTTCTCTGACTTTTCTGACCACAGGCGGATATGTTATTACTCTCTAGCAGTGAGCCATACAGTCTGACATATGTAGAGACAGCAGACCTGGATGGGTAAGTGTTCCCTCCTGATATTCTATAAAGACAATTTAGCCAGCTTAGAGTGGTCTCTGGCTTAGGGAGAGTAAGATGCAGGAATGAATTTTACCCTCAGATAGATGTGGTAGTATAGGAGCCAGAGGGCTTAGAAGTATCCAAGTATATACAGATTGTTACCTTTCTTGCTCATTATTCTTGAAGGGTGCAGGTGTCACCTCTATGTTATTTTGTGACATCTTTTTGCCTTCTGTAGAGCTCCTGGCCAGCTAGATTTCATGGGTTAAGTAGTAACGATGTGTTACAAAGAATAAGAGGAAAGATGGGAGAGTGGGTAGGCTAACACTCAGCTTTCCTGAAAAGCTATCTCACTTCATTACTGCCTGTGAAAGAGAGGAACACTGGCAGTGACTCTTATGGCTCAAACATGTAGCCCAAGCTCTACTGGCAACATCTATTTTTCTAAAACCCCATGAAAAAGTAGAAGAAACTAGACTTGTGCTGCTATTGTATATGTGTCCTGTACTCTGGCAATCCTATGTCCTTTACTCCAGTGAAACCAACCTGAAAGTGAAACAGGCCATCTCAATTACCAGTGAGATGGAAGATAACCTGGAGTTGCTGTCTGCCTTTGATGGTGAGTCTGGAAATAAGTTTGTTCACACAAATTTTCATCAGCAGAGAACTGGTTAAATAAGGTATGGTTTCTATATACAGTGGTTTCTATACAATTTATTACAAATAATATACAAGTTGATACTTATTGACATGGAAAAAATATTTGATGTATAATTAGTAAAAGAAAAGTACAAATTACAAAAGAGTGTGCATAGTATGTATAACATAAGCCTGGTTTTGAAAACATATATATGTTTATGAGTACATACATAGAAAAATGTGGAAGATGTAGTCCAAAAGTTTTTAAGTACTTTTCTCATGATAATGGGTGAATTTTACTCTATCCTTTTAGAATTACACAAATATTTACGAAGGAAATATTTACTTTACTAATCAGGGAAAATCCCAATTATTTCCATTTGAAATAGGCTTGTTTTAAGTTAGTCTCTTAGTTTCTTCAGATTTAGAGCTCATATGATCTGAGAGTACGGATGGTGATAAGTTATCATGTGGATTTTCTCTCTCTGGATGATCCATGGCACATCCAGAATAATTCTTCTTTGGTACTGGAAGCTTTTGTCTGCTTTTCTGAAGGGAGCTGACAAGAAATGGGCAGTAGCTGAGAGAGTAGAGGAAAAATATTTATATGTATTTCAAAAGAGAGATTTTCTTGTCTCTTTTCTGTTAAGCCTCTTTCTGTCCTGTTAGGAAAAGCCTAAGATTATAGAGCCAGGACTCCCTCTCCTTTATTCTTCTGCAGGAGAAGTGAAGTGTGAGCCTCCCAATAACAAACTGGACAAATTTGCAGGAATATTGACTTTTAAGGGAAAAAATTATGTCCTGGACCATGACAAGCTACTACTCCGAGGCTGCATCATCAGGAATACAGACTGGTGCTATGGCCTAGTGATTTATACTGGTATGTTTCCCCAGGGCCACACCCAGACCCCCAGCCTGCTGGCTTCCATTCATGGTCAAGTTGTGAGTGCTTAGTTTTCAGGATATAAATATGATACTCAGATATGCATCAGAGCACTATGACTTTGAGATAGATAGAAAGGGAAGTGGATGGATGGATAAATGGATGGGAAATTTAAGAAAAAAACTAATTTTTTTTTTAATGACTTCTTTTTTCTAAGCAATAAGCTTCCACCATATTACCTCTCCCTGTATTAGAGGAAGGCTTTGTGTTCCAAGACCACTGGGCATTCATGAGTCTGTCCAACCATATCTGGACACAAGAGAGGCTATACGTACATACAGGAAGTATGATATAATAGAATTAGCATGTGAAAGGGGAATTATATATGTGGATTACCCCCAGGAAGAGAAAAGTTATGTATGGATCATTACCAGTGGACCCTTTTGAGATGACCTTTAGAACCACAATCCATTATGTTTAGTGAGGGATTTTCTTGGATTATGATGCAGGTCAGGAAAATGGAGGAAGCCACTGTGTTACTCTTTAGCCTCGGTGACAATGGACATTGATGACAATGACCATAGTAGGAAGTATTGAGAAAGATATGCCACAGTGACTACTACTCAACTCAGCTTCCCAGAGCTTCCTTTCTAGAGAATCTACTCCTAGACATGGGGCTTTTAGACTTCTATGGAAAACAATGGAACCTAAGCCCTAGGAAGAAGCTTAAGAGTCCAGGGAGGCACTGGTGGAAATTCCTTCATTGGTTCTTGTTCTAGAGTAACCATTTCTAGGCTTCTTAGTTCCTAAGCTCAAAATATTTAAAGTGGCCTTTCTTCACTGTTCTTCAGTGGCTACCCACACATAATTGTCACTCATAAAAAGCTTATTTTTCAGCCAAAGATTTTTTCCTAAAGCAATAGCAGTGATGTTGCTAACCAGCACAAATTTAGTTAAGTTGTCCTTCTGACTCTTTGTTGGTTACATGGTAGTGAATAGCTCTGGGAAACTGAGCAGAGAATTGATGATGGCATTTTTGAGGTATTCAGCGCAGAACTGAGTTGCAGTTCTTGCTACGTGGTGCCAACTTTTGACCATGATTTCTGCCTTCTTCTGGCATAGGACAGTTTTTCTAAGAACCCTTGAAAGATATGGTCCCTGTAGGTTCCAGAGTCTGAGCCAAACTTCTCAAGACTTCAAGGACTTCAAGGAATATTTAAGAGGAAAGAATGGCATAGCTGAAGCCATGCATTCTCAGTGTTTGCCCAATATAGATGTTCCAGCTCTCCCTATGTAAACATTGATGAAATTCTATCATTAGAGCACCTGTAATAATAACAATCAGATAGTAAAAGGCCAGAAAAATTGTTGCTTATAAACCTTTTATGTTTTTTCTTCAGTCATATTTCTGGTAAATGATTTCCAGCTCTGGTCCCACTGACCATTAAAAGCTCTTTACTACTATTTGTCTATCCCATCATGATAAACACAGGTGTGTCTTAGCACCAGATGGATCTCAACTCCTAGGCCAGGCATAGTGGCTCATGCCTGTAATCCTAGCACTCTGGGAGGCTGAGGTGGGTGGATGGCCTGAGCTCAGGAGTTCCAGACCAGCCTGAGCCAAAAAACAACACCTATCTCTACTAAAAATAGAAAAACTAACCAGGCATTGTGGTGGGCACCTGTGGTCCCAGCTACTTGGGAGGCTGAGGCAAGAGGATTACTCAAGCCCAAGGAGTTTGAGATTGCTGTGAGCTATGACACAACTATAATACCATGGCACTCTACCCAAGGTGACTGCGTGAGACTCAAAAAAAAAAAAAGTCTCAGCTCCCCAGCTTTCACCTCAGAAGAAATCACTGCCATTGCCTTTTCCTTTCTTGTTTTTCCAGTTAGAAACTTTAAATGTAGCTTGGGCCAGAAGTAGGAAGTAGGGTTCCCCAAAAGAAAGTAGAGATCTGGCTCAGCGCCCATAGCACAGTGGTTATGGTATCGGCCACATACACTGAGGCTGGTAGGTTGGAACCCAGCCTGGGCCAGCTAAACAACAATGACAACTGCAACAAAAATTAGGCAGGCGTTGTGGATGCCTGTAGTCCCAGCTACTTGGGAGGCTGAGGCAAGAGAATCACTTAAGCCCAAGAATTTGAGGTTGCTGTGAGCTGTGATTCTGTGGCACTCTACCAAGGGCAATATAATAAGACTCCATCTCAAAAAAAAGAAAGGAGAGATCTCTTTATCAGAAAATTCCTTCTCTAAGTTAAATAAACCAGATGGTGATAAGAGAAAAGCTTGTGACTCCTATTCCAACATAACTCATTTGTGAAAGTGGAGACTGTGTGAGGTACTACAAAAAGATGGGTCTACATGGATGCAATTTACAGAAGTGGTTAGAGCTATCCTTAGAAATAAATTTTCCATTCTTTGAGTTATTGGCATCCACTGTGAGCCTTTCTCTAAGGCTTTGTTCCCTGGAATTGGATAAAAGTTTAGATTAGGTGATTATACAGGTAAATTCCAGTTAGTTCCAAGACTCTGAGTATAAGATCTAATGTCTCCCTACTTTACTTAGGGCCAGACACCAAATTAATGCAAAACAGTGGAAAGTACACCTTAAAACGAACACAGATAGACCATCTTATGAATGTCCTCGTGCTCTGGGTAAGTTAAAGTTTTTTTTCTCTGCTTTTTTACAAATAGATGTACTTCCCTTCCTTCCACAGTTAAGATTCTATTTCCAACTCAGAATTTAGTTGTTTTAAAGTCTAAAGCAGTTTTAAAACCCCACAGACTAACTTCTGAAGCAGAAAAGAATAGAGCCAATTTACTTGTGAGCCTAGTTTATACACACCGTTGTGGAGGATAGTTGCAAATTGTTTAAGAAGGTATTTTGTTTTGATTAGTGGCACCAGATTGGATCAAGGGCCCTACTTTACAAATTAAAACACATTTTTATTTCCTTATAATCAGTTTTACTGATGACCACTTTAATAACACCTTCCTTAGGCTAGTATTATGCCTTTTTTAAATTTAGATTTTCAAACTGTTTTCTTAGAGGAGTCTTGAGGTCTGCTGTCATGCAGGGGTAGGGAAACCATGGCCTTCTGAATTCTTGAGCGCAGCCTCTTGCCTGAATCCAAATTTTATAGAACAAATCCTTTCAGTAAAGGGATTTGTTCTGTGAAGTTTGGATTCGGTTGAGGCGCTACACTTGAGGATCTGGAGCACCACATGTGGCTTTGAAATTTTTGCTTCAGAAAGAGCAGCTTCACATTTGTCTGTTTTATAAGTAAGATCAGTTGGAAAAATATAAGGTTCTTCTGCTAAGAAGAAATTTGAAAAGCTCTACAATATATAATAATCAGATTTGACAATAGAAGTTTAAATTGGAGGCTAATTAATAAGTTAATTTATTTCTATGATATCTAATATAGGCTGCCTTTATTTGTGTTAGATATGGACAGATTAATTTCTTTATTTAAATAGTTTATTTGCATAGCTGAATAGTTATAGTGATATCTACACTTAATTTCATGACTCTTCATTTTCATTTTTACTCTATTATTTAGATTCTGAAAACTGGAAAATGTATTTTCTTTCTGTATACTTCTAATTAATGTCTGAATTGTCAACTGCTTTTCTCCTTTATTTATTACAAGAAATATGAGAGTTCCTTCTCAAAATCCTTTGGATTTAGTTTAGGTAATGCCAGGTTACAAACAAGATAGGTTCCATACTTTTGTTCTTAAGTGGAATTTGCATGTAAGTTGGACAAGTACATTTACCTATTCCCTGTAATAGCCTTCATTAGTGAGTTGTATATAAGTCAGATGTTTGTAACTTGGGAACTGTCTGTATATGAGCTTTTATTTGTTTGTTTCAGGGTATTTTGGAGGGGGGGTTGTTTGTTTTTGAAACAAGAGCTCACTCTGTTGCCCAGGCTAGAATGCAGTGGTGTCATCATAGCTCAAAGCAACCTCAACTCCTGTGTCAGCCTCCCAAGTAGCCAGGACTACAGGTATGCACTTCCATGCCTGGCTAATTTTTCTATTTTTTGTAGAAATAGGATTTCACTCTTGTTCAGGCTAGTCTAGAATTCCTGACCTTAAGTGATCTTCCCATGTCAGCCTCCCAAAGTGGTAGGATCATAGGCATGAGACACTGTCCAGCTCATTTTTTGTTTTTTTTAATGAGGAAAGCAGTCACCATTAAGAAATCTAGAGGATGACAAAGGCAGCTATTCTTTTGACAATCCTGGGAATATTTATCATTAGACAGTAAGCTAGGTCATTTATCCTAGGCTTGTCTTCAAAACAGGATGTCTCCCATCTGCCTAGGAAGGTTCAACTATTTGTATGCCTGTCTGAATTGCAGAGATAATAATTGACATCTATAGAAGAATTTTAACTTTTTATTTTCACATCATTAATTGTAGCCTCATTATACCCATGAGCAATAAGCAAGTCAAGAATTATTTTTTCCATTTGACAAATTATAAATTGAAACATAGTAAAGTATCATTAAAGTCTCACAGAAAAATAATAGCAGACAAGTCATTAAATCATATTTATTGAAAATCTCTGATGTGCCCAGCACATGCTAGATGTTAATGAGAATCATAAAGGTATATAAGACCTCCACCCTTCAAGTGTGTAAGTCCATTTGGTGGGGGAGGGGTACACTAATAGCAATATGTGCCAAGTGCTTTATGTACATCACTTTATTAAATAATCACATCTATCCATTTAGACATAAATTTTCAGAGTCAATGTTCTCTCTGCTATCGTTGCTGTCTCCCTAGGGAAACAAAATTAAAACACATGACAACTCCTATTTAACATGACAGATCAAACACATAAGAAGAAATTATAAAATTGAGAAGCGGGTCCTAAAAGCTTTCAGAGAGGAAAAAAAAAGATCATATATAAAGATCATGAATCAGAATAGCATTTGGCTTTCTCAGCAAAGGATAAATGCCTTCAAAAATCTGGCAGAAAATTATTTGCAATCTATAATTCTAAATCCAATGGAACTACCAATGAAATTCAAGTGTAAATAAATATCCATATGTGCAAAGACAAAAAATTTTACTCATCATGTATCCTTTCTTGGGAAGCTTCTAGAACAGCAGTTCTCAACCTGTGAATCGTGACCCACAGGAACTGTAATAAAGGGCCACAGCATTAGGAAGGTTGAGAACCACTGTTCTAGAATGTATGCTTAAGCAAAACAAGAGAGTAAACCAAGAAAGAAGAAGTTATGGAAGCCAAGAAACATGGGGACAGGGATGGAAGCCCTAGGATGAGAGCTGAATATCAGGCCTAGACAACAAACAGTATAGATTAGAGTGGGGCCATAGGGAGCTCTGTAAAGCTGTCTCCAGAGAGAGGCCTCAGTTCTTTGCTCAGACTCTCACAGGTGGAAGAAGCAGACAGCCAGTGTAAATGTCACAGGCAGAATAGCTGCTAGGAATTCCCACTTCCAGTTCAAGCCAAATGAAATGCCCATAAAGAAGTACAAACATAAATAAATACCTAACATCTTTGACAAAGGTTGAAGAGCCATCTTCAACTTGAGATGTTGATGAATTTTTGAAAGGCAGACAGTTTATAGAGGAGAATAGCAAACGCTTTGGTGGAAATGCATTCTTCATGATAGAGCTCAAGAGGGGCTCCCAGCTAGAGTCAGCAGGTACAGAGAACAAGCATCAGGTGTGGGAAGTCATCAAAATAATGAACTTAAAAACTGTCCATAAAACAACATGGGCAGCAATTGGCCCTCTGTACATACCTGTGTAGCATACATACAATAAGAACAAGTATATTTGCCTTCCAATTCCAAACAGGAGAACTGCGTTTGAGAGAATTTAAGAACCTAATTGCAGAAGCCTAGGACTTTTAATGCAGGTGTCAGCACTTCAGAGTAAAGCCCAATTAATTTTAAATTTGAGGGGCCCAAGTTTTCCTGTAAGCATATTGTGCACCCTGGGGTTAAATCTGTCAAACAACATCTACCTACACACAACTCATGGGTCTCCATTCAAAAGAATGGTCCTATTGGGCAAACAAAATTAACCAAAGGGAACAAAACCTACTCCAGCAATCTATAATGATCAAGCTATTCTTTTACTCATATTTTTAAATGTCCTAAAGGGAAACCAATAGCACAAAGATGAGGATGAACAAACAGATTAATGACTCTGGGCCACATGCAGCAGCTCATGCCTATAATGCCAGAAATTTGGGAAACTGAGGCAGGAAGATTGCTTGAGGCCAGGAGGTTGAGTCCAGCCTGGGCAATATAGCAAGACCTCCCATCTCTACAAAACTTTTTTTAAAACTAAATGGGTGTGGTGATATGTGCCTGTAGTTTCAGCTACTTGGGAGGCTGAAGCAGGAGGATCACTTGAGCCCAGGAACTGGGGGTATAGTGCTCTGTGATCACACCTGTGAGTAGCCACTACATGCCAGCCTGAGCAACACGGCAAGATCCCCATCTCTAAAAATAAAATAAAATAAAATGATGGATCCTGAAGTAAACTAATTATAATCTAGGAGAAAGAAAATAACTTTGCAAAAAAATTCTTATGACTATTCTCAGAGAGAAGAAGCAGTTGCATATATAAGGTGAGAATAGAATGCTTTTTAAAAAAAGGAAAAGTAGAAAAAAAGCAATCTAAGACAACAACAAAACAGAATTTGGGAAAGTAAAAACAGGATTGTTAATATTAAAAAGCCAATTAAAAGGCTGAAATAGAATTTTTAAAAAACTCTCCTAGATCATAAAACGAAAAGACAGAGTTAGAAAATATGAGAAAAATACTTTTGTTAACTAAGGAACACACCAGGAGGGTTTAGGCATACAGAAGTCCCTAAAAAATTTTATAGGGATAATATATTGACAAAAATTGAGAATTAGAGTTACAGCAAACTTCTCATTCACACCACTGGCTCCTAGAAGGATCCTAGAAATTGCGAGGGTCCTTGCCTTCTTCTTTTTCATTATTCAATGCCACCATTTCATAAAACAGCAAGTCAAAGTTTAAAAAAGAAAGAAAGAAATGAAATAAATGTCACCTTTTCTTTTTTTTTAATAAGTCATTTATACATAGATCATGAATACATTTATGCCATTGTGGGATTCAATGTGTTGATTATTTGTACAAATTAGAGTGTTTACATCCTACTAATCAACTTTATTTATCCAATTACAGTGTTAAGACATTTGTGTTCTACACCTGATAGATCCAACTTGTACTTGCAATATGGTCCATAGGTGTGGTCCCACCATTAACCCTCCGTCTATCGATCCACTGCCCTCCGTTCCCATCCTCCGCCCCTTCCCTCCTTGATCCTGGGCTATAGTTGTGATTCATCTTTCATGTGAAAATGTGAGTGATTATAAATTGGTTTCATAGTAGTACTGAGTACATTGGATATATATTTTTTCCATTCCTGAGATACTTTACTAAGAATATTTTCTGGCTCCATCCATGTAAACATGAAAGAGGTAAAGTCTCCATCTTTTTTAATGCTGCATAGTATTTTATGGTACACATATACCATAATTTATTAATCCATTCATGGGTTGATAGGCACTTGGGCTTCTTCCATGACTTGGCAATTATTAATTGAGCTGCAATGAACAATCTGGTACAGATA